ATAATCCCGTGCCCGAAGCTCTTGTCATTGCAAAGTCTCTCACATGTACGAATTTCATCCCGCATGTGTAAAAGTTATATCCGTAAAGCAAATCCATGACACTCAAGTCATGATAAAATAATTTTATTGTCGTATTAAGATCCACCATCTTTTTTGAATTAGACTAGTATCGCACAATGGGCATTATACGTGAATAATTTTTATACATAAATTTTATTAAAATAATATTTATATGTGTATCTAAATTAAATATCATTTCAAATTTATCAAACTTAATTTTTTATTATTCATATTCTAATATAGTATTACGAAAACTTTGTATGTTTCCATAATTCTTTGTTCTAACTATTAAAAAATAGATTTAAAAAAAAAAGAAATAGTTAAAGTTCTTTTTTTTAAGAATTTTGTGATTGAGATTGTTTTTTTAGTGTTGTTTAGGAAATTAAATTTTTTGAAATTCATTTGATTTCACTTATAATTCCTTGAATAAAATAAAATAAATTATTAATATATTAATCATATTGAAACCTTACTGTAATTGGGAATTAGTTTGGTGAATTGAGATAAGATTTAATATACTACTCTATAATACATATTATCAACCATATTAAAATTCTAAAAAAATCAAGTTTTACTTAAAAATACACTATTTTATCTATTTTCACATAAAATCTTAATACAACTTAGAAAGTTTATTTTAATTGAAAAATCATATTGATGTAACATAAATTATTTTAAAACATTATATATACGATTATTTTTTATCTTAGAAATGAAAGGGTTAAACTTTTCGATAAAAAAAAATATAGTTTAATGGAGTTTTTAAAGGTTTTTTGAACACTTTATTAAAAAATATAATTATGCATATTTTTTTAATGGTAATATAGTCAATAAATTTTTTTATAGAAACTGATATTTATACATAGAAAATAGATAATTAAAAGAGATTTTAGAAATAATTTGAAGATTTAAATGCGTAATGATATGATGATAATTTAGATATTTAATTGTAAAAAGATAGAGTGATTTTTGTAATTTTTTATGAAGGTAAAATAGAGATTTAAAAAAATTTCATGTTAAGATACCTTTATTTTTAATACAGATATATATAAATCACTGTTTGCTTAAACATTAGGAAGATAAATATTTAAATATTTTCACTTGTAATTTAAGTAATAATCTTGGAACTTTTTTTTTTCTCCATTTTCCATACAAACAACCCCTATAGAATATTGTATAAAATATTTATAAGTATAGCTCATTGATGCGGACAATTGGATTATTTATATTGTCATCCCTTTCAACCTAAATGCATTATTTAATCTTGGAATTTTTTGTTTTGTCCATTTTCCATACAAACAACCTCTATAGAATCTTGCATAAAATATTGATAAGTACAGATCATTGATGCAGACAATTGCATTATTTATATTGTCATCCCTTTCAACATAAATGTCTCAAAAATAATAAGCTACAAATTTAGGAACATAATTCATGCAACCATGAGATTAGAAGTGTGTTTCATCAAATATTAGGACTCACAATTAATCTCATAATTACATATAATTAGGTCCCCAGAGAAAGTTGCATCTAATCAATCACCACTTGCTCGGAATTTTGCAGTTGTCTCACCTAAGCATGTCAATTATGTCAGGTCTTCGCGAGTTCGTCTCACAACAATATTTGACTGATACTCGATTAATTAATTAATTCGTGTCGTATCGAATTCATATCATATATGAATCGGATATAATTGATATATGCACGAGTCGAGTCGTATATTTTTTTTATTAGTTTCACCGATATCCGATTCGTTTATTAATCGTATCGTATCGGAGTCACTCGTTTATGGGCCGGATGGCTTAAAAAAGACCCAAACCATATATTTTCGTATTGTATTTATGTCGTGTTAATAAATTGTGTCATATTTTGACACCTAGACTTTCACCTACCTTGAGAAAATCTTCGCAACGTTTGGTTTCAACCATAGCCCTCTTCTCTTATGCTGCCTCGTGGATTTCAGCCATCTTATTCTTCTTCTCTGCATATTCTGCTTTCTTCTTTTCAAAATTTTCCTGATCGTCTTAAGGCTTATCAGAACAATACTAATGCTAATACTAATGAAAAAGAGAGTTGCTAATGCATACAGCTAATGCCTCATGAAATAACCAATTTTAAAAGTTACTGAGTTAACTTGAATTCATACAACTCATGCTTTTAATAGCCCATTGCTTTAGAAAATTATACACAAAATGAAAAATGCTTCAATTGGCAACACGTTATTTCTTTTTCTTAAGGCTTTCATAGATGCTCCATTCAGAGAAAAACTAAGGAGAATCTAAACTACATTAAAACTAAATTATGAAAAACAGAAAAACAAATTTATTTAATTAAAAAATAAAAACTAAATTATGAAATTAAAGAGAATTTAAATGTGGTCATCAAACAATGATGTATCATTCTACGACAAGAGTTTTAATCAAGTTGAGTTTTTTGAGCTTGAATATATTCAAATTCAGTTTGGATGTGATTGATCAAACTCAAACTCGACTATCAAACTTAGATTCTTGCTCAAAGTTAACTTGATAGAAGCCTACGAACAGTCAAGCTAAACTTGAGCAGAAAATGTGCTCAATTTCATAGCAAATTTTCCAAAATTCAATCCTAGAATAATCAATTTCTCTTAAAGAAAATCCCCAAATCTATATAATAACCTATAAAATCAAAACCTAAAATTTTAAATAACCACAAATCTATTTGAGAGAAGAAATAGAGAGGTGTGGATAGTCTGAAACTAGTTGGTGATAAGTGGAGAGTTAATTATCTTTTGGATCAATGTTGTTCCAAAATAAAATCACAATTATTTATATATAGGAATCTAATTGAGTTGAACTACACGATACTTAATTCAACTTGCTCAAAAGAATGAGAAAAATCATGTGAAATTCATGTCAATTGGTAATCTGAACAAACCTATAATAAACTAGCCCATGTCAAACTTGAGCTACTTTTATCCTTAAATAGTCCAATTCCACGACACCCTTGTTCTACATACATAATATATATTTTTTTTTTTGTGAAATGTTTTTTTTGTTAGATTTTGAAGTTAAGACAGATCTCTATATAGTCCTAAAATAAGAGTAACGCTATTTGTATTTAAAAATCTAACCTAATAAGCTAACCTAATGACGTGATTTTATTAAAATCGTTTGATTAACACAAAATTTTAATGTTTGATAGAGTTTATGGTCAATTCAAAGACTATAATAATCCCCACTCCTCTTCTACTTTATTCTTTTTAGAAAAATTTTGAAAAAAATTATGATTCAATAAGAACAATTGTAATTTAATGAGGTCAAAATTACAATCCAATGAATTTCAAAAACTTGGGATCGATCCTACAGACTTGGGATTAATCCCAAGTTTTTTTGATCAATGGTATGTCAACCAATTGAGTCGTCAATAAACTAATTTGAGTTGTAACTTATACGATTAAGTTGTAATTTCAAAACGTTATCTTTGAAAAATCCAATCCCCCTTTTTTCTCGAGTAAGTTACATTGTCCATTCTTTTCCGAAAGAGCCTGGAAATGTATAGCCTATTACTTACTTTTAAATTACTTTTTTGTTCTATGTAAGCAATGACTCAATTTGAAGTTCAATCCCAGTGGATCATTTGTTGTATGTTGGATGAGAAAATTTCTAGATAGCTTCCCTTCAAAATTATTGCTACAAAATTAAAGAACAACATGGTACCATGGAAATTAACAATAAGAACCAAGTTGCCAACTTGCATTAAGTAAAAATATATTGCTTTTCAAACTTTTATCTAAATAAATATTATATTGTTTAAGTCATCTTCGAGGATGCGTTCATGAATAAAACAATAGGGTGGTTGCCTGGTTGGACCATCTTTCACTCTCTTAACAAGATTTGTTCTCTTATGCTCTCTCACAAGCAAATGCAAAGCACTTTCTTTTTCTTTTTCTTTTTTCTTTTTTCTTTTCACTAAAAAATAATAATCTCACGCACAAAACTCCTATCATTATAAAGTCTCGAAAGAGTCACATATACGAATTTTATCCCGTATATGTTAAAGTTATTCCCACAATGCAAACCCATGACACGCAAGTCATAATAAAACAACCTTATTGTTGTATCTAGACCCACCCTCTATTTTGAATTGTATGGATCACTCTTTAGGAAGACAAACGTTATTATTTTCAGTTGTAATTTAAGTAATAATCTTGGAACTTTTTTTTTGGGTCCATTTTCCATACAAACAACTTCTATATCTTGCATAAAATATTTAAAGTACAACTCAGTGATACAAACAATTGCATTATTTATGTTATCGTCTCTTTCAACCTCACTGTCAGATATAGGTCTTGAATTTAACCTAAAAAATAAAAATTTACAAATTACATAACACTTCGGTGATAGATAATTCTTTAGTTAGTTGCTTAATTTTGATAACAAAATATAAGTAGGATTATATTAGCAGAAAAATATATATGTTCGCTTATTATAAAAACAAATTAAAATAAAAAACTCGGGTTGAACTCAAAATATATTTCTATGTGGTCTCTCAAACAGACAACATCTAAATTATTTACGATTTTTTATCATAAATTTGTCACATAATACCTAAATATTGACAAAAAATAATTTGAATAGCTTTTGATAAAAAAATGTGTTATATGTGTAGCTCTTTACCAAAAAATCTGATAGCTCATGATTAAAACTGTCTAATTTGCATAACTCTTTAACCAAAATTTAGGTAAAAATTTAGTCAAAAGTTATCTAAATTATTGTTTTTGTCCATATGGATGTATTAACTAACAAGTTTATAATAAAAAATTAGTATCAATCTAGACGATGTCTATTTGGAGAACTTCATATAAATATATTCAATACTTTAAGAATTAAAATATTAAAAACTAAAATGACACAAATCACATATTTCGGAACCTCCGGTGCAATTAACTTTTTTTTTTTCTTTCATCTCATAGACATTCAGGCGGCCTTAATCAGTATCGTTGAAACCCATCCTTCACACACACCTCCATTTTCTCTCTGTGTTCCTCCTGTTCCCAATCCATCTCCCAAAACCGAACACAAAATGGCTATTGCAGAAGTTTTTCTGGGCGCGTTTTTAGCTGTGTTATTCGAGAGATTGGCCTCTCGCGAGCTGTTGAGCTTTGCTCGCAGCGTGGGAATTCATACCCAGGTGATCAAATTGCGCAAAGTGCTGATGACTATTAAAGCGGTGCTTAACGATGCAGAGACTAAGCAAATAAGTGACGAAACTGTGAATATGTGGCTGGAGGATCTGAGGGTTCTGGCTTACGATGTGGATGATCTTGTGGACGAGATCGCGACTGAAGCTTCGGCCCATCAATTGAAGTCGGAGACCGAAGCAGCAGCAGCTGCCACAAGCAAGGTGAAGGTACTCAACTTCCTCCCTCCTTCTTTTACTGATTTCCCTAGATCTGTTGAGCTCAAATTCAAGTTCGGGCCCAAGATTGAGGAGATCACTTCCAGATTACAAGAAATGGCACAATTGAGAGATGATTTGGGTTTGAGAGAAGTAGAGTCAAGCACAAGAAGAGAGAGATTGCCAACAACTTCCTTGGTGGTTGAATCCCATGTCTATGGTCGGGAAAAGGAAAAACAAGATATACTTGAATTGGTGCTCAAGGATGAAGCATGTAATGATGAAGCACGCGTAATTCCAATAGTAGGGATGGGTGGTGTGGGCAAGACCACTCTTGCTCAACTTGTGTACAACGATGACAAGGTTAAGGATTTCTTTGATACGAAAGCATGGGTGTGTGTTTCTGAAGAGTTCGACGTATTCATGATAACTAAGATTATTCATGAGGCAGTGACCAAGGAAAGACACGACTTCAACGACCTCAACATGTTGCAAGTGAGTCTCAAAGAGAAACTTTCTGGATTAAAATTTCTTATTGTTTTAGATGATGTCTGGAACGAGAACTACGAAAAATGGGATCTCCTCCGTGCTCCTTTTCGAGTTGGGCTACCTGGAAGTAAAATTATTGTTACAACTCGGCATGAACGTGTTGCATGTATCATGGGTTCTGTTCCTGCGTACCCTCTGAATGTTTTGGCAGAAGAAAGTTGTTTGCCTTTGTTGGCTCAGCATGCTTTGGACAAAACAAATTTTGATGACCATCCAAATTTGGAAGCAATTGGCAAGGAAATAGTCAAAAAGTGTGGATTTTTGCCTTTGGCAATGAAGACATTAGGAGGCCTTCTGCATAATATACATAGCCCAAATGAGTGGAAAACTATACTGAATAGCAAAATCTGGGAGTTATCAGAGCACCAAAGTGGCATCCTTCCAGCTCTAAGATTAAGCTATCATCATCTCCCTTCTCACTTGAAGCAAATGTTTACATATTGTGCTATATTTCCGAAAGACTATGTGTTTGACAAGGATGAGTTAGTTTTGTTATGGATGGCGGAAGGATTTTTGCAACAACCCACAGTTATGAAAACCATGGAAGAGTTAGGCGGAAAATATTTTGATGAGTTATTATCAAGGTCATTCTTCCAATGTTCAGGTGGCACGAAATCAAACTTTGTGATGCATGATCTCTTGAATGATCTAGCTCAATTTGTTGCTGGAGAAATATGCTTTAGGTTGGATAATAATATGGAGAGCAATGAGCATTGTAAGATTTCTCAAAAAGCTCGCCACTCGTCATTCATTCGTCGCAGATATGAAGTGTTGAAAAGATTCAAGGAATTTCACGAACTCGAGAGGTTGCGGACTTTCTTACCGCTGCCACTTCGTAAGGTTATTGGGTTTGAATGCTATTTAAACAACAGTGTTTTGGTCAACCTACTGCCAAAATTACGGTGTTTAAGAGTCTTATCTTTGAGTGGATACGAAATAAGTGAGCTTCCTAACTCCATTGGGGATTTAAAACATCTTCGGTACCTTAATTTATCGGAGACTTTGATTAAATGGTTGCCTGAATCGGTGAGTACTCTCTACAATTTACAGACATTATCATTAAAAGGTTGTCGCACCCTTTGTAAGTTGCCCGCCAACATTGGAAATTTGGTGAACTTGCGCCATCTTGACATTCGAGATACTCCAAAATTAGAAGAGATGCCGTCAGGGATTGGTAGATTGAAATGTTTGCAAACATTGCCAAAGATTCTTGTTGGCAAAAAGAGTGGATTTGGACTCGGAGAATTGGACAGCCTACTGCTTTCGAATGGAATGCTTTCCATTGCTGGGTTAGAAAATGTTATGGATGTGAAGGATGCAGAGGAGGCGAATTTAAGTTGTAAGCAAGATATTAATGAGTTGGAATTTAAATGGAATAGTGACATTGAAGATTCTCAAAATGATGGGCTGCAAGTTAGTGTACTTGAAATGCTACGGCCGCATAGAGAATTAAAAAGTCTTAAAATTGAGTTCTACAGGGGCATCACATTTCCTAATTGGATTGGGGATCCGTCATTCTCTAAAATAGTGTATATTATTCTTCAAGGTTGTACAAAATGCAAGTTTTTACCACCACTTGGCCAACTACCATTGCTCGAAGTACTATCCATAGATGCCATGCATGCTGTAAAAAGTGTGGGTGCAGAGTTCTATTGCGGTGGTAGCACTCTGGAGATTCCATTTCCATCACTCAAGATGTTGCGGTTTCAAGGTATGCCAGAATGGGAGGAATGGTCTTTTTCTTATGGTGTTGATTTTAGAGGAATTTTCCCTAACCTTCATGAGCTTACTATACGCAAATGCTCTAAACTGGTGAGTGTTCCACGCTTAAGGCTTCTCTCTCTTCGCCTGTTAAAGATACAATATTGTGATGAGGCAGTGTTGAAAATTTTTACTGAATTACCCTCATTAACCACGTTGAAAATTGAGAATGTGTCGGGGCTAACTCATCTGCCGATGGAGTTCATGAATGTGTTGGTGTCACTTAAAGTTCTTAAAATTGAAAAATGTGCCGCGTTGGTGACTTTGTGGCAGAATGAGATTGCACCAGAAAACCTTTCCCATTTGCATGTAGAATCTTGTAAAAATTTGGAAAGGTTGGCTTATGACCTGAAAAGCCTTAAATTTCTCAACAAGGTGTACATCTTTGATTGCCCAAAGCTTTCTGTTCAATCTTCCGATTATCTGGAGTCCATCCCTAATTACATCCCTCGTCTTGAACACTTGTCCCTCAGTAACTGCTCTTCTTTGAGTTCTTTCCCAATAGACTCTCCTCTCTCCACACTTAAGTCAGTTTCGATTAAGTATTGCGAGAATTTGAAGTGGGTTAAAGAGACGGTCGAACGGAGCATCATGTCAGGAAAGTTTGGGATCAGTAATTGGCCCAATTTGCGGAGTTTAATTGTACTCATTCAGGAATTTGGATGTTCGATGAATTATTATAAAATCAACCGCTCACTCTCAGGAAATGGTTTGCTCACTCCCAACCTACGAAGTCTTGACATCTCTGGGTTTCAAAATCCCTTTCCTAGCCAGAGTCAAAGCCTCGTATTCCTTCAATCACTCACTATACGTAATTGTACAAGTCTTGAGTCCTTTCCAGACCAGAATTTGCCCCCCAGCCTAAAATCCCTAGTTATTGACAACTGTTGGGAACTTAAGCCCCTATCAGAATGGGGCTTGCAAAGACTCTCCTCTCTTCGGCGTTTCACCATGAGATATGTATATCCAGAGCTACTATCCTTTCCGGACTCGTGTTTTCTTCCTAGTACTCTACAATACCTTTGCATCGATGAATTCTTTAATCTCAAGTCTCTCTCCAATGGGCTCCGAAACCTGACCTCCCTTCGGCAACTAGAAATATACCATTGCCGTAAGATTGAGTCTCTCTCTGAAGAACTCAGAAACTTGACCTCTCTTGAGCATCTGGAAATCATCAATTGCCCTAAGATTGAGTCTCTCTCTGAGGGGTTCCAAAGCCTGACCTCTCTTAGGAGTCTGAAAATTGAACATTGCCCTAAGATTGAGTCCCTCTCTGAGGGGCTACAAACCTTGACCTCTCTTTGGGTTCTGAACATAAACAAGTGCCCTAAGCTTAAGTCTCTCTCTGAGGGGTTCCAAAAGCTGACCTCTCTTAGGAATCTGAAAATCGTGGATTGCCCCGAGTTGGGTTCCTTGCCGAACAAAAGGATACTTGACACACTTTTAATCCTGGACATACGGAGATGCCCACTTCTTGAAGGACGGTATTCCAATGAGAAAGGAGTAGATTGGCCCCAGATTGCCCACATCCCCGACGTTCAGATTCTTTCTCGCAGGTTCCATTCACGTTGCATATCCTTCCTTTTAATCTCTGCTTACCTCCATTTTCAATTTGTTTTATGGTGAATTTCACTTTATACCTTATACATTTAAAAAAAAATTATTTTATACCTTCAAAGATTACATTTATCAAATTGTACCTTAAATGTATTAAAAGTATTTCAGTGTTACCTTCTGTTATTAATTCTATCAATGTTAATGGGGGTGATTTTTAACATAATAAGCAATGAAAGCTAACATAAGGATCACATTCAACATTTATAGTATATTGAGAGTGTAATATAAAAAAATTAATCTAAATGAATAATATAAAAAATCTAATCTTTAAGTATGCAAAATGAAAAATCTTTAAATTTTTTTTGGTGCAAAGTACAATTCCCCCTCTGTTTTAATCAGGTTCACGTTTGTAAGAGAAAGAGGAAACTTACACTTAGCACCCAACACTATTGCCCAAATCTCATTTGCTCCCTCTATAATCAATTTTGTCATATTACCCCCTGTTAATTGGTTTCACATGACCCTTTATTGCCACCCTCTTTCCCCTCACCTACTGTTAATTAGTTACACATTGCTACAAAAATTCACTGTCCATGCATTTCCATCTGAAACAAAACGAACCTTTGGCTTTGGGACTATGTGAAACAAATTCAATAGTAGAAGAGGCAATGTAAAACTAGGGTCATAATTACAAGTGTGATCTATCCAATTGAAAGTAAACTAATACTCATTTTGATATATAATCAACTATCATTTAGTATGCCGTTAAATTCTTTATTTGTGTTGGTATTTACAGATGGTGACGAGGCCTTTTGTAAGGAGCAACTTTATTAGGTGCCAACCACAGGTGAGTTCGGTTTGAAAAGTGCTTGTAAAATGTTTGCTTGTCATTGTTTTTTCTCTTTACATTTTCTATTCTCCTGTGTGATATTATTGTCTAGAGTGCTACTCCTCTTTGTAATTATACAGGGGATGTAACTGCCAACCTGATTTGTTTTGCTTTGTGGTAAGTTGCCAACTTCTTCTTGTAATAATTGAATAGTATCAAGTTGAGTTTAGAGATTGTTACTTGAGGACTACAGAAGGATTTTGCCCATTGGCATGATGAAGGTTATAATTTTACTGTGCCTTGTTTAGCTATTGAGTAACTTCGGAATTTTTTTTTTTGGTGATCTTTTGAACTATTATTTGTTCATTGTCATCGAAAGAGACTATAAATGTGTAAATAGAAATGCGACGATAAAAAAAATAAAAAAATTAGCACAATTAGACAAGCAATGCGACAACTAATGTGGTGTAGCCGAATTTACTATTGTAGTATTTCGAGCCGCTGATCTTCCTTAGTCTATTATGGGGTGTACTTATCTAACTGACCTAAAAAAAAAACTTCTGGGTCAAATTATCAACATATTGTATTGATTTATATCAAAATACTATTTGTCAAGCTTACAGATTCACGGATTTAAATTATTATTAGATATATGTATCAAAGACCTTCAATCACGTGTTGGATCAGATTGGTATTGAAGAGCAATCAATTCAGACTGAAACCCAACTTGTGCTACAGTGAATGAAATCTTATCGAGCCAAATATAGCAGTTTGTGACTGTAGTTAGGACACGCTTAGGGTGTTTAAATTTTCGATTGACCTCAATTTTATATCCTATTCTATCCGATCCTATCCTACCTTACTGAATAGCTAGCCGCAAAAAATAGGTAAGAATGTTGAAGATGTTTTGGTCTTCCGATTAAATCGAGTAAAAATGTGAAATACCCATCAATTTTTGCATTCCTACCCTACCCTACTCGTAAAAAATATATTTAATTTTTTTATATTTTTTTTAGTAATTATAAGAGTATTTGTGTGGTATAATTTATATTAGAACATTGCTATTGTTGTGGATGTTTGAGTTGCGTAAACATGGACATGTTTTTTGTGTAGGTTACATGATTTGTGGTGAATTGGTTATCTATTAGAGCAATTATGATTTTAATATGTTTCATATTGTTTAAATTTAAAATAATTGTTATTGTATTTGTGTAACAATTATGATTGATTGATGTTCCTGCTTTTTTATGTTTTATTGTAATTGTTGTTATAATTGTTTTCTGTTTTAGTATTATTGATTTATTGTTTTGTTAAATTGATGCATGTTATTTAATTGAATTGTTAAAATGATTCAAAAATTAATAGTTACAAAACTGTTTATCCGACTTTCTACCCAATTAATCGGATAGGAAGTCGGATAAGAATATCACACCTGATCAGGTAGGGTAGGTTAAGAAAAAATTCTTTCGCAAAGTATCGTGTAGGAAGACGAAAGACTATATTTTTTATCCGTAGGATAAGGTGAACACCCCTAGACACTCCAATATGCCCATCGAGAGCTTCCCTAATCAAATCGTGGTTCTCAAAGTACATTTAATTGTCATTCTTGCAAAGCATCAACACAAGCTATTGCTTCACATTGTCCAACAACAATTTGCTAGACATCTGGGACACCCTTTTGGTACATAAATTCCTTTTTTTTTTTGAAATATTCTTCAATAGTTTTTGAAGTTAAGACAGGTCTATATCTAGCCATAAAACATTGGTGTAGATATTCAATGTAACGATTGTCACTGACCAATAATAAACAAAACAAGTAGAAAAAGTGAACCCCACATGATAGTTATTGGTGATTATAGAATTTAGTGGGATCTACTAGTCGTACATGCTTGTTCATAATTGTTTTGTGACACCATATGATAGTGATTACGTGGTGTCACAGTTACATTAAATATTTTTTCCTATCATGAACACCCTCTTGTTGTATACTTCAATTTTATTTCCCAACATTTCTGCCCCATTGCTCTTTATTTTTTAACCAATAGTGACCAATATGTAATTTGCACAAAAATTGAAAGCATTTTTTTGTTTTGGTGGATGAAATAACAATCTATGTCCTTTTTTGCAAAATTTTTCCCGTTTTCTATATTTTGTGAGTTCGAGTTGTTATTTTGACGATTTTATTTTTGTCACATAATTTCTCGAAGCAAGTACCCTATAATGGTACTTTTAGTACCTCTCTGGCTGCTTGAGATTTTTCCCCCTTTATTTATGCTTTCAATTTGGTTTTGGATACTACATCATTAAGATTGATTCTTCGTGATTTATTTATTTATTTGATTGTTAAATACACTTTCCTTTAAATGGTAACATGGCCAATAAGAGATTCTTGTGAATAAAATGAAGGGTTGTGTTGGCTTTATTTTTGCTTATGTTTTTCCTTCCACTAAGTATTTGAAGTACTGTGTGTATAGTGGTTAACATGAAGAAGTCATCATTCACCATAAGGTTAGAAGAGATTCAATGTTGTGCTTTGGCACGTTAATGTGACAAATGTGATATGATTTTCATACTAAAGTGCCTAGGCTCAAAATATCAATTAGTTTGAATGATTTTTTTTTAATATGTGCCTATGCAAGTGTGGATCTGATCTTCTACTTTGTCCATTTTTTCAAAGTAAAACTAATAAGGAGTCTTAAATTATCCATTTTATTTCGTTTTTCCTTTCTATTTTTTTTTGGGGGTCCATTGTGACTAAAAAAATATTGCTTTACATGATAATTGTGAAGTAATGAAAATAATTGTTACTTTTAATTGTGGTTTATTATTTTGATGTTCAAGGGTGATGAGTGCACGGTATTGTTTGCGTTTACCGAAGTTTTACCAAATTGTCTTAATTCAATCTATCCTACTATAATGTTATAACTATTGAGTAATGATCTCTTTGCTAAAAGAGACCGATTACTTTTTTAGATCTATGTGAATATTATGATTTTCATTACTTATTTGTAGGTTTGACGATAGAGACTTTGTTGATTGAGCTGAGACACTGCCTTAATTCTATCCTTCCTCCCCCGTCTACTCCATTTATGCCCTAACCTCCTGCCCCTCGCTCTAGTTTGCTCTCCTCATATCTCTTCTCCCGAGCAACGGCCTTGGTCTCGGCGCCAAGCCACCACCACAACAACACCATCCCCTGCTCTAGCTCCGGTGCCATGAAGGTATGCACTGTCTCTCGTCCCCCTCCCACCCACCCCATCTCTTCTCTTTTTGCTTTCATCCAAGATGTTATGGAAAACATATTTTTCTATTTTTCATTATTTGTTTTGATTGGTTGTACTATGTATTATAGGAATTGTGTACTATTTCCATGAGTTATAAAATTACATGCAAGTTGATTAATAAAGGTAATAACGGTACAAATATAATGTGATGTGATGAAATTATTGATACAAGGTATTACTTATTTATATAAATGTTTGATTATATAAGTTGTACACACATGTCGAATTGATCAGGTTTTCGAAAGAAACTATGTTAAAATTTCTTAAAAATAATAATTGATTCATATTAACTGTCAAACTTTGTTTATTATATAAATTATTTGATTTGGGATTCATTTGTGTAGTCGTGTCTGTTGTTGATTAGTGTTATTGAACATGTGATTGAATGTTGAAAAAGTGAATGCTAATGTAATAAAATGTACATTTCACAACGTCATTAACGCTCTTCTATTCGTTATGTCTTCTAATTGATAATTTTTTTAATTTGTTATACCATACTTTTAGATACAAATAATTACTAATCTATATACTAAGAGAACTAGAATGTTTCTCTTTAATTTTTACTAATCTCTAATACTCTTTTGTCGAATATGCCTCCCTCTTTTTATCTCATACGCCTCTGTAATTCTCATTGAGACTCTCTCTCCTCATCCCCATTCAAGCCATCAGACTTGCGACCCCAGCCACCTAGAGACACTTGATGACAATTGTGACCACCCACCCACCGATGCCGTGAGCGACACCCACCACCGATGGGTGGTGCTCCATCTGTAGGTATCTCCATCTCTGGCTCTCACTTGCACCACTCTGTAATCCATCGGTCCACCAACCACTACCATCCAACACCCTCCTCTTCCTCCATTTCTATAATTCTTCTCTCTCCTGCGACACTAGGATCCGCCAACCACCGTTATCCATCAACCACCAGTGACTGCCTCCATCCAAAACGGAACCCCACCCTAGCCTAACCCTAACCCAAGTTTTCTACCCATTCATTGAATGGAATTAAAAAAAAATCATTATGATTATGCTTCAAAAAATGGTATAGAATTTTGCTAAAATATGACTTCAATTAGGGCAAGCTTGATGGACTATGTTTGGTGTTTGATTTTCCTGTGTTGGAATTAAATGGCATTGGGGGAGCTGATGGTGTTATGATTTTCAATGTTGCCATCGGGTTTGTGATGACGATTTAGAAATTGAGGTTGGTCGATTTGAAGTTCGGTTTTTATGCTCAATCCATAGGGTTGTCATTGGGAATGAGACTTATCTCACTATTTTTCCTTTCCTTTGAATTGGATATATTGGGTAGTAACGTCACCTTTGAACTACAATTTAGGGATTTCTTTATTCAACATCTCTAGAGTACATGTAAGGCTTTGTACTGTATTTGAACAAAAACCTAAATATTAAAACATTTAATCTGTGGATGGTTGCCAGGAGTAGAGTGTGGAAGACAGAAAAATATGTAGCAAAATTCTAGCTCTTCCGTGTCAACACAGATCCTTGGTGACAAGAATGACGATGGTGAGCGACAGCAGCACCAACATGCCACTCTCTCTCCCTCATGGCAGCATCTCAAATAACTCTCTTTCTCCCTCTTTCTCTTCAAATTTTGTTTGCGAAATGCATTTTTTGTTTTACTTGCGATCTATGAAGCACGGACACTCTCGAGAATGTGACGTATCCGTATTGGACACGTGTCAGACACCGACACTCTTTGGACACTTCGGACACGTGTGTGATACTCTTTCATCCATGTCCATAATTAAATGATAAATTTTTAATTTCGGACACTTATTTGGTGACGTGTCCCACACTTCTTTAGAACGTGTCTATTACTAAATAATAGACATTTGTGGAAATGTGATTAACAAAGTTGAAAAACTTGAGAACATATAATTATTAATATTAGACATATTAAAGTTGCTCTCCAAATATAATAATAAAAACAAAAGATGCATAAAAGTTTTAAAAAAGAGGAATTGAGAAAATGAGAACAATTATTTAAATGATATAATAGGTACACACAGATGACTAAACATTAGGTTTTTTTATCATAAAATACTGATTTTTTTATGAATTATATAACATTATCACTATATTTGTAATAAATTATATAATGTTATATATATAATATAATTTTTTGTAGTGTGTCCCTAACGTATCCGTGTCCTACTTTTTTGAGAAATGTCGTGTTGGCGTGTCCATGTCCTGTCGTATCCGTGTCCCGTATCCGTGTCCATGCTTCTTTGCTTGGGATTATAATTACAAATTTGTTTAAGTTTGTGATTTTGTTTGATTATCAATCCTATTTCTTTTCTAATTATAGTTCTCCTTTCCTCTGACTGGGGACTCTATTCATGCTCCAACAAATATCAGTATGCTGATTGGCCTTTTATTTGCTGTTAAATCACCGATTTGTGAGCTAAGAGTAGAAGCTTCTCTCCCCCTCCTCCTCCTCCTCCTCCTCTTGGGACAGTTTAGATAAAAACTGATGATGACCATGTATTGGTCAAACTATAGGGCAAGGAAGAAAATTATTGAAGTTCTCAAGTTGGTCCAACCAGATTTTTTCTCTTATGCTCTTCCGCAAGCAAATGCAAAGCAATTTCCTTTTCTTTTTCTTCTTTTTTTCTCCGTTTCATAAAAAAAAAAAAATACCGTGCCCAAAGCTCCTATCATTTCAGGGTCTCTGAAGGGGTCACATATACGAATTTCATCCTGCATGTGTAAAAGTTATCTCTGCAATGCAAATTCATGACACTCAGGTCATAATAAAATAATTTATTGTCGTATCAAGACACACCATCTCTTTTGAATTAGACTAGTAATGTATAACGCGCGTTGTATATGAATAGTTTTCATACACAAAAATTATTAAAATAATAGTTATATGTGTATCTAAATTAAACATTATCTCAAATTTACCAAACTTAATTTTTCATTACTTATATTCTATTGTAGGATTATGAAAAATTTGTATATTCCCATAATTCTTTGTTCTAACTATAGGAAAATAGATTTGAAAATAAAAAAGAAATAGTTAATATTGAGATTGATTTTTTTGTGATGTTTAAGAAATTAAATTTTTTGAAATTCATTGATTCCGCTTATAATTCCTTAAATAAAATAAAATAAATTATTAATATATTAATCATATTGAAACCTTACTGTAATTGGGAATTAGTTTGGTGAATTGAGATAAGATTTAATATACTACTCTATAATACATATTATCAACCATATTAAAATTTTAAAAAAATCAAGTTTTACTTAAAAATACACTATTTTATCTATTTTCACATAAAATCTTAATACAATTTAGAAAGTTTATTTTAATTGAAAAATCATATTGATGTAACATAAATTATTTTAAAACATTATATATACGATTATTTTTTATCTTAGAAATGAAAGGGTTAAACTTTTCGATAAAAAAAACAATATAGTTTAATGGAGTTTTTAAAGGTTTTTTGAACAGTTTATTAAAAATATAATTATGCATATTTTTTTAATGGTAATATAGTCAATAAAATTTTTTATAGAAACTGATATTTATACATAGAAAATAGATAATTAAAAGAGATTTTAGAAATAATTTGAAGATTTAAATGTGTAATAATATGATGATAATTTAGATATTTAATTGTAAAAAAATAGAGTGATCTTTGTAATTTTTTATAAGGATAAAATAGAGATTTAAAAAAATTTCATGTTAAGATACTTTTATTATTAATACAGATATATATAAATCACTGTTTGCTTAAACATTAGGAAGATAAACATTAAAATATTTTCACTTATAATTTAAGTAATAATCTTGGAACTTTTTTTTTCTCCATTTTCCGTAGAAACAACCCCCATAGAATATTGCATAAAATATTGATATGTACAGATCATTGATGCAGACAATTGCATTATTTATATTGTCATCCCTTTCAACCAGTTTTATCATAATCGGATTGGACCGGTCGATCAGATCGGTTCAACCGTGAATCGGGACTCTAACCGGTCCGGTTCCTTAGTTGAACCGCTTAAGGAAACGAACCGGTTAAAAACTAAAAAATCGGCCAGTTTTTAACAAAAACCGTGAACCGCTGGTTTTATAAAAATCGGACGGTTTAATGCCTATTTAAAAATTAAATTACATAAATAAATTTTTTTGCCCTAAATCAGTAAATAGTTGATTTTTTTTAACCTTATTCTTGAAAAAATTATAAATAACACCCCTTCTTTTTCTTTATAATTTACTTGAACCTCTTTATTTTGCTTTAAAATACAATAACCCCCATTTTGTTACTTAATTTCATTAATTTTATGGCAAATTTTATGTATTTTATATTTTTTAGTTAAATTATTAAGTTTTATAATTATTATATATATGTTTTTTATTTTTTTATTATATGACCGATCCGATCAGTTGACCCAACGATTTAACCAGTGAACCGTTAACCCGATTCCCTTATTAATTCGATGACCAATCCAATTCTGATAAGATTCCTTTCAACATGTCTCAAAAATAATAAGCTACAAATCTCCTTTTGTCAATATAAATATGCCCAGTTTGAAAATTGTATCTACTGTTCCATATTCCCCGCTCACTTTTGTCATTGTCTTTCATGTCCCTCTGAGGCACTGAGCAACTTTTTCATATCCCACCGAGGCACTGAGCAACTTTCTCCATTGCCCAAGCATCATGCCTCTGGACACTAACCACCTGTCTATCCCTTATTTATCCAATCCCAAACTTTAACCCCACGACCTTTTAAAAATAACAAAAATATCCCCTCCTTCATACCTGGTTGGATGACAGAATTTAATTTGTTTTGAATTTATTTTTTAAATTTATTTGTTTTATCTATTTTGAATTGTCTAATTATATTTTACTGTTTAGGCGTTAAATTCATCTAATTTATACGAAACAACTATGAATAGATCAGACATCAAATTACTAGAATAAAATTAAAATAATTTGAAACTCACATCTATATAAACGAGAAAAGCGTCGAGCTCAGAAGCATCAATCTATGCTATGGCCCCGACTACTAAAACTTTCAATACTATTTTTTTAATTAAACCTGCTTAGGGCACAACTTTATTAATTTTAAGATAAATTACACAAACCAAAGTGGCATAGGACCCTTATACCCACATAAAAAAAAATAGAAAAAGTATATGTAATGAAAACTTAAAACTTAAAAGTGTAGGCCTTACTTTCCCAAAAAAAAAGTAGGCACCTTACTTTCCTCTTGCAATGCCTAAAAGTGGCGGCCCCCACTTTGAAAATTGTATCCCCCATTCCATATTCCCACTCACTTTTTGTCATTGGCTTTGATGTCCCACTCACCAACTTTCTCCACTGCCCAAGTATCACGCCTACACACTAACCAGCTGTCCATCTCTACTTTATTCGATCCGAACGAAACTTTGACCCCCACAATTACATTACATGGCATATTTATATTTATTATATTATATTTGATATATGAAATCTATTTAATATACAAAATTCCAAAAAAAAAATATATATATATATATATTACCAGGGGCGGAATCATGAATATCTATGGTAGAGGTAAAATATAACTGATATAAAAAAATATTTAGCCGAAATTAATACAAAAAAAATCCAGTTCAAGAATAAAAAAAAAAGTAAGGATCAACACTAAATTATTGTGAAATAGTAAATTCAATTTTTATTTAGTCCAAAACAAAATCTTAACAAAAAGACACTCAATAATTTTTTTTAGTACATTTTAATCTAATATATATTTCAATAAAAATATAAAATTTTTTAATCTCTAAAATTCTGTATATGAATTAAATTTAAATTAATTTTTCACTATATTTCTATCAATGTGTACAATCACAAGTACGTATTTATTTAGTTACAAAATTTAGTTGAGATCATTTTCAATCTTATAGAGAAATTTCCTATTCAAAATAGTTTGAAATATTTTTGGATTACAACTTTTTTTTTGTATACATTCGTATTTTATTAGGTTATAAAACTATTATTACTAAAAAAATGGTAAATAAAAACTAAAAATTATTCTTAAAAGGTAACGAACATTGTATTAGATAAAGATAAATATTGTATTTTCGTCAATATACAAATAGAACATTGACTCAATTCAAAAACTAACATATTTATTTTAGAGGGTTAGTAGTCCACTAATTTATATAAAAAAAAAAGACTAGAAGCATTATTAAATTTTCAAAATTTTAGGGGGTAAATATAATGTATAAAATAATTTTATAGGTTGGTACAAAGAAGGACAAAAAAAACTCAAAGAACTGAGCTTCTCTCTGTTTCTTCTATTTTTCTTGTGGCTGGGCGGCAGTGGACAGTTAGGAGTAGTGATACAGAGAGAAAATAAATAAATAAATAAGATAAGTTTTTGTCAAGTGGGTCAAAAATTTTGTTTTTTTTAATGATGGTGAGCCAAAAATTTAGTTTTTAATATTGGACTAAAAGTTTTATATTTTTTTAATAGTTTAAGTGGATTGTGATATATCAAATATTTGATTTTTTAATATAATTTGGATAGATAATAGTAAGTTTAATTTTTTGTTTTAAATGGACTTAAATTTTTTAATTATTTTTGGTAAATAATGTGAGCCTGAGAAGGACACACATAATATATATATATAACTAATAAAAAAAATTTGAGGGCACGTGCCCACCCTGGCCTGCCTCCCTCTGCCTATGCCTCCTTC